TTTAAGAAATGTTGATAAAGTTCTTTATAAGAATTCAATTTTGAGAAAAATTCAATTATGCAATAAATTATTTATTTTTGTATTTCAATAATTGAAATATTAATTTTTTTAGAACTTTTTAATTATAGAATTGATTTAAAATTGAATTTCAGTTAAAATTTTAAATAATAATTAAATATTAGAAGTGTTATAGTGTAAATTTTTAGAAATAATTGAATTTCAACATGTTTTGAATTGAAGTCTTTGAAAATTTTGTTTCTTTTACGACTGCAATAATATTTAAAGTTTTTTTTTAAATAAAATTATTTAAAATTTGAATAATTTTATTTAAATATTTGAGCAATATCATAACTGAATTTTGGAAGTAAAGTCTTTTTGAAATTTAACTATTTCTAGAAATTACAACCGTAATTTCTAGTATTGAATAGATTTTCAATTTTGAAGTATAATTCTTGTGCAAGTTATTATGCACACGATCTATTTGAATTTTGAACTTCTCACTCATCCTCAAAAAGAGAAACAATAATGTCCAGTCTATTATTTTCTGCTCAACAGATTCAGAATCTTGTGAGCTAATAATTCATTAGAAACATCCGTAAAATTTTGACGATGTAAAAACTAATACTCGAGAGGTTTAACGAGCGGATTCAGTGCGGCAAGGAGTACAATCGCAAAAATTGTCTTTATGACATTTAATGGTTGGAATTCTTTTAAGATCCATTCCAGCATTGTCCGCCGATCTGTCCGGGTCTCTTAAAGGCAAAAGGAATGTCAGTCCGATCATAGTTTGCTCTTTGGGTCCATGAAAGAGGACCTTTGCCGACAGTTGCGGAATCTCCCCCCATCAACCCTTTCTTCCTCACTTTTGCTGCTGCTGCTGCTTCTTCCTTCTCCTTCTCCTTCTTTTTCATCATCATCATCATCATCATCATCCTCTCAACTTCTTTCCCAATCTCTTTCTTATGTCGTCTTTCCCTTCCTTTCCCTTCGTCACAAAATCTACGGCACTTTTTATCACAAAACTTCCCTCTTAGTCTCCCTTTTTGACAGCGTCTACCAAAGACCTCAATCAAACTGGACCCATCGTTTTCGTTTTCGTTTCCTCCAAGTCGGTGTGTCACACGGCCTTTTTGTCCCTTTTTCTAGAAAGCATACCAGAATATTCGAATTTAGAATCAAATTCACATGGGAATGTGTTTAAGGAAAGGAGAAAAACCCCTGTAATAACAACAAAAAATTATATTGTATATCACAAGGCTTCGCACTCATCTACTAAAACCTACTATTTACTACTTTTTTCACCTTATTTGTAGTAGAATTTTTTTTATATTTCAGCCACTAAAAGAATTTTTGAGAATTTCCACTACTTTAAATTCGCTAATACTAAAAATCAAAAAACTATTTTCAAAAAATATAATCAAATTCTTTAAAACGATTCAATTATTTTCAAAACATATTCGAAATTCAACTATTTTCAATATCTTGTATTTTCATAAAATTTCGCAAAAGAATTCAATTATTTAAAAAAAAATTGGTAAAATTCATCCAAAATTCAATTATTTTCGCATAAATAATAAAATACCCACAAGAATTCAATTAATTTAGAATAGCATTTACAACAAAAATTCGAAAAAATAAATTATTCAACAAAATTTTTATACAATTCTTCACAATAATTCAATTATTTTCATAAATAAAAAAAATTATTCACAGAAATTCAATTATTTAAAAAAATTTACTGAAATTCTAAGCAAGAATTGAATTATTTTCATAAATAATAAAACTCATAAAAGAATTTCAATTATTTTTAATACTATTTTTAATTAATTAATCGAAAAATTCAATTATTTTCACAAACAAAGTTTTACAGAAGAATTCAATTATTTTAAATTAAATTTCCAGAATATTTATTATATATCGAAAAAATTAATTATTTAACACAATGTTTATAAAATTTTTATGAAGAATTCAATTATTTTTAAAAATAACAAATTTTTTAAGGAAAAAATCCAATTCTTTTTAAACAATTGAGCGGCCGGATCGTAGAAGGGCACGTAAATTTTTCTCGAGCGAAATCTGAGTCCCCTGAACACTCAAAATTCAACTTCTGAATTTAAATATTTTAAATACACATCCTTATAGAAAATTGCATTCCGCATCTTTTTTCCTTATGAAATTTTTTTCTATCTATTACCATTTTCGAAATATTTTGGAAAAACTGTTTTTTTGAAAACTGTAAATTTAATGACATTTTTCACTTCAACTCGCGATATTTCAGACAATTTTAAAAATTTTTCAATGAAACAAAAAAGAAAATGCGTCTTAAGGTATTCTACGAATGATAAAAAAAGAAAAAAGTGGTTTTCCTTATAAACAAAATTGTTATTAATTTTTTTCTTTATTAATGTAAAAATCACGTACTACAATCTTCACGGCTCTCGTTTAACGGGCGAATTTTGAGTAACAGAGAACTTTCAGTGAGAAAATTGTTCATTATGATCCAAAAAAGTTTTCTGGAAAATAATAAGGTTAATAATTAATTAGTGTCGAAATGGTAAATGTTTAAAGTTGCTAGCGACCAAACGCATAGCACACGCCACTGGCCATAACCTATGAAACAACACTCCCAAGCAACTATGGCGAGTGACGCGTGCTATGCGTTTGGTCGCTAGCAACTTTAAACATTTACCATTTCGACACTAATTAATTATTAACCTTATTATTTTCCAGAAAACTTTTTTGGATCATAGTGAACAACTTTCTCACTGAAAGTTCTCTGTTACTTAAAATTCGTCCGTTAAACGAGAGCCGTGAAGATTGTAGTTTGTAATTTTTACATTAATAAAGAAAAAAAATTAATAACAATTTTGTTTATAAAGAAAACCACTTTTTTCTTTTTTTATCATTCGTAGAATACCTTAAGACGCATTTTCTTTTTTGTTTCATTGAAAAATTATTAAAATTGTCTGAAATATCGCGAGTTGAAGTGAAAAATGTCATTAAATTTACAGTTTTCAAAAAAACAGTTTTTCGAAAATATTTCGAAAACGGTAATAGATAGAAAAAAATTTCAAAAAAAAGATGCGGAATGCAATTTTCTATAAGGATGTGTATTTAAAATATTTAAATTCAGAAGTTGAATTTTGAGTGTTCAGGGGACTTAGATTTCGCTCGAGAAAAATTTACGTGCCCTTCTACGATCCGGACGCTCAATTCATTAAAATTTTTCGCAATAACTCAATTATTTTCATAAATAAAAAAATTCTTCTCAGGAATTCAATTATTTTGGAAATTTTAATAAAATTCTTTGCAACTATTTAATTATTTTCATAAATAATAAAATTAATTTCAGGATTTTAATTATTTTTAATACAATTTGACAGAAATTGCTCAATAAATGTAATTATTTTTAAAAATTTAATTTCAATTCCTCAAAAAAATCAATTATTTAAAAAATGTTTTTTTTAAATTCTTTGGAAGAATTCAATTCTTTACAAAAATATTAGAATTTTTCACAGGAATTCAATTATTTTTAAATATTTTAATAAAATTGTTCGAAAAAAATCAATTATTTTAAATACAATTTGAATTGAATTTTTATGAAATAATTCAATTATTCTTTTAGATTTTATAATAAAATTATTTCCAAGAATTCAATTATTTACATAAAATAATTCTTCGAAAAATTCAATTATGCAGATAAATAATAAAATTATTCCCTAAAATTCAATTATTTCGAGGTATTTTATTAAAATTCTTTTCAATATCAATTATTTTCATAACTAACAATATTTATCTCAAGAATTTAATATTTTTTAAAGTAATAAATTTCTTCTTGGAAATTGAATGATTTTAAAAAATTCTAATACAATCGTTCACAAGAATTCAATTTATTATTTTCATAAATAATGAAATGCTTTTTAGAAATTCAATTATTTTCCAAAAAATTTAATAAAATACCACATATACATTTAATTATTTTCCAAAATTTCAATTAAATTCTTCTCGAAAAACCAATTATTTTTATAAATAATAAAATTCTTTGCAAAACTTTAATTATTTTTAAAATTAAATAAAAATCTTCTAAAAATTTCATTATTTTTATTAATAACAAAATTCTTCGTATAATATTTTCAATTATTTTCAGAAATTTGAAAACAATTCTTCGATAAAAATCAATTCTTTTCATAAATAATCAAATTCTTTGCAAACATTCAATTATTTTCATAAATGATAAAATTTTCACAGGAATTCAATTATTTAAAAAAATTTCAATAGAATTCTTTGCAAAATTTCAATTCTTTTGAAAAATTTCAATAAAATTCCTCTAAAAAAATACTATTATCTCTATAAATAACAAAACTCTTCGTATAAATTCTGTTATTTTAAAAAATTCTAATACAATTCTTCAAGAAAATTCGATTATTTTTAAAAGTAATAAATTTCTTCTTTCAAATTCAATTATTTAAAAAAATTCTAATAAAATCGTTCTCAAAGAATGCAATTATCTTCGTAAATAATTTAATGCTTTTTAGGAATTCAATTATTGTCAAAAAATTGTAATAAAGTACGCAATTCAATGATTTTTAATATCTACTATTTTCATAAAATTTCCAAACAGGATTCAATTATTTAAAAAATTGTTTGTAATAATCTTCGTAAGAATTCAATTCTTTTAGAATAAGAGAAACTTTTCAGGAATTCAATTACATATTTATATTAGAATTTGCATAAAATTAGTCGAAAGAAATCAATTATTTAAGTATAAAATTCTTCGCAAGAATTAAATTATTTTTATAAAAATTTAAATTCTTTCATGATTAATAAAATTCGTTGCAGGAATTGAATTTTTCTAAAGTGTCTAAAACGATTTTTTTGGTCGTCTAGTTTAATTTTTCGATAGCCACTTTTTGCTATACTTTTTTAAAATTAATTATAGAGTATACAAAGTACTCAACTAGGAATTTATTATAAAATTTGTATTCACTTTTTGTTTGCAGGTTACTGACACAAATGACAATGCGCCGGTATTTCAAGCGATGGCCTATTCCTTCGATGTTCCGGAAAATGTGCCAAGAGGAAGTCGTGTTGGTCAGGTCATTGCAACGGATGCAGATGCCGAAGGTTTGAACAGTCAATTAAGTTACGCCTTGATTTCCGATTGGGCTAACGACGTGTTCTCCCTGAATCCAAACACCGGAGTATTCACGCTTACAGCAAGTCTCGACTACGAACAGGTTGGTCCTTCTTTTCTTAATGATTAATTTTGTCGTTTAATTGGTCCAGACCTGCGTAAAACCCTTGTTGACCGTCGACCGGAATTGAGTCCTGCGACTGCTGTATAAATATTTATTTATTTAAATCAAACTTGGCGCATTTCACGCCAAGTGAAGAAAAAAAAAAGAAGCAGTGGAATTCAAGTATAAAATTAAAAGATTCTTACACCATTTTTTTTGTCCTTCTTTTTTCATGGAAATATGGTAATTTTGGTGAAACTTTTTTATAGAGAATATTTTTAACAAGCTGCATTGAAATTTTTGGGTTTTTCAGTGTTTTTGTTGAGTTTTTAAAATCATTGTTGCCTGCGTGGAGTTATTCATCTGAAAGAGTATAAAATGAAAATTAATTCCAATAATAAAAAGGAAAGGAAACTGAAAGGAATCAGTATAAATCGAAGCTGCATAAATTACCAGAAGATAGTCTTTGGCGAACTGCGAAGCGATGCAGGTTTACGATCGTGCGGAGAAGCGCATAAAAGTGCAAGTATAAAGTCTGGGCGCTCACCTATTAAACCACCTCTTTGGTTTAAATAACACGGGTCTAGAATTTAGGGTTTAACTCTGATCGACGGCATGGCAGCTCGACAGACGTTTCTAATGCCAGTTCAATGCTGAGGTCCAAATTCTCACGCACACTTCCACAGCACTTCCACCTTTCACTATAGATTCACCTACACGCGTCTAATGAACAGTTGTAAAAGAATATCCAAACTTTAGAGTCTTTGAATCTCTTCTCTGAGTGTTTATTATCGTTATACTCTCGCCAGAGAAATTATTTCCTCCGAGAGTGATTGATTTCTTTTTAATTCAACCCTTTTCTTCAAAATGGAGAAAAAAAGAAAAAGACTCTTGTTTGCTCAATCATTACTCAAACTATTTTTCAAGACGACACTGGATTAAAATAAATAAATAAATATACCTGAAAATGAAGGGTTAAATCTTTTTTGACACTAGAATGTTTTGAGGTGTCCAAAAGACATACAATATTCAAGACTAACTACTCGATAATCCCATTTCTGATTTCTTAATCCCTGAATCGTGTAACAGGCTTAAAAAAGAAATGAGGTAAAAAAAAAGAAAAAAAGTGGGTGCAAACAAGTCTAACCGGCAAGTGGCGATGGTATAAGGCAACAGGGGCAGAAGGCCGTTTATAGAACCCTTCATCAAACTAAATGCCCTTCGAGAGATACACGCCAAGATTATTACTCAGTTCTCCGAGAGAGAACTATTGTCTATGTGTTCGCAAAAGCGTCGACAAAATCAAATGGAAACACAGAAATAATAAGGTGCTGCTCTCCCAAAATCGGTCCTTGTAAAATCGTTAAGTATAGAGTTCAAATGGTCGATTATCGAACGAAGACAAGTTCCGCTCTTCACAAAACGACAGGTCTCTCGTAAATAAATATGGATGCAGATACTTTTTTAACCTTGCATTTAAGTCACGTGACTTTAAATCAGTTTTTAAGACCCAACGAAAAATGCATTCCAACATCCAACCGAACTGATCTTAATGAAAGACTCTCTTTCACTTGTTGAAGATAATGTTACAGTTTTAAAAAGGGATTTTCAATATACAATTATTACAGGTTTCAAACCTTTAATGAAAACATTTTTCAAAACTCTAGTTCAATTCCTTTTTTGTCCTATATAATTAATACAACGATTATAAATATAGATTATAAACAGGGTTACCACAGACAAAATTTTGTCTGGAAATCAGGGAAAAACAAAATAAATTTTTTTTGTCAACCCTGATAAAATCATATTTTTTTATATACTCTATATTTAAAAACTATAAATTTACAGTCGCAATGCGGACTTTTGAAACTTTATCTAAAGCCTCTTAGTTGATCAATCATTCCAAGTTGATGTATCAAATTGACAAGGAGAAAAAAAAAGTTCAATAATATTTCATCAGGAGAATGTAAAAGAAGTTAAACTGGGTTTGGTATCTCCTTAAAAGTATTTGATAGATAAAATATCTTTTAGAAGTGTATATAATGTGTATACGCGAGAGGACAAAGAAGAATAAAGACAGCGACAGCGCCGTTCATTATTGCGATATGTCAAATATCGCGATTTGCCATAATATCATTTTCTTTCATTGTGCGCGCCCATTGCCCGACACACACACATCATAGATCGAATCTCAACTTAAAAACAACGCTCATTCTATATTATGAAGAACGCTATTTAAATTTATCAAATTTTTATCCGACTGCGTCGAGAAAGCAACTTATTGTCGGTGACATTTTTCATATGCGCGCACTCGCCGCGATTTCACCGGCTTTACATTTTCCTTATGAGTCACCAAACAGGATTCAGGAACTGTTTCATTTATTTTGTTTCCGATTGACATGAACAAAGTGTACCGGGGAAAGGAGTTTTATTTAGAATGATTGTGACGCGTCGCGAACAAAACATAGGAAGCAAAATTTTATAGGTTATGTTCGTTTGTTACCTTTTGGGAAATTTCTTTTTTACCTTTTTACCTTGGGAGAAAAGAAAGTCTGATTGGTGGAAGTTGGATAATTTTACATATTATTATTAAGTAGTTACCAAAATTGTCACCAGAAAGCGTTTCGTAATAAACAAACATTTCAGGCATTTCGGGCGCCTTCGTGGGCGCCTTTTAGCAAAGAAAGCTTTGAAATATTTAAAATATAATTCGAAGGAAAAATTATTATACCTAATTGCTGTGTTATAAATTTTAAAAAAAGTTTGTTGAGTATTTCCACATAATTATATGAAATTTAAAACGTTTAAAACTGAAACCTTGAAACAAACATAACCTCTAAATTTTGCTTCTTCTTCGGGTTCTTCGGCTTCTTCGCGACGCGTCACAATTTTGTCGCCATGAAAAGACTTTTGATGAAATATTTTCAAACTCAACTCAGCTGTCTTCATTTAGAAGCAACAAACTTAAAGAAAAAAGAAACAGAAAAAACAAAGAAAAAGAAATTGAGAAAGAACACATTTTACGAAAATGTTATAAGAGACTCAAAAAAAGATAGTAAGGTTACTGAAAATTTTTTTTAAAAAGAACGAAATAATTATAAAGAAATTTTTACAAAGTGAATAGTGATACACGGAAATTGTGCGATGCAGTCGTTTGAATTGTATATAATTATTAGGAAACATTATTTTTCTAAAAGACCAAGTTTAGTTTGCGAGACGAGGATCGGCAGTGCCAATTCATGTCTTTACAATGACCGTTACTCAGAGTGGCGTTAAAAGAAAGAATTTCAACGTAGGAGAGACAGAGAGCAATATCTTTACAGCAGAAAAGCAAAGCACGCAACAAAATAGAGTTTTTATTTCTCCTAGCGCCACTGTGCTTAGATTTGTTGCCAGTAAAATACCAATAAACCCACGCTCTCAACGTCTGACACGCTTTACTCCCGATAGGCATACGCGAAGCATACTCTAATTTATTGGAACTTATCGACACTGAATAATTGACAACGCGCAGCCAGTTAAAATCAAGATCGCTCGAATAAAATTGCTTTTTAATACCCAATAAATAAAATCTTTTCTTAACAAAGATTATTATACGTTTCGAGAAATTTCACAAGAAACATTATTTATTATTCTGCTTGTTAGAATTTTACAATTTTACCGATTTTACTCATGTAATGAAGTTGTTCAACTCTTGACAGAATTGCAAATTAGATTTTAAAAACCATTTTTCTTTCTTGAGAAGATTATCAAATAAATAATTTTCAGTAAATAATAAAAAGAAAATGACTTTGAAAATCGTATTTTTGTAGATTTTTTTTATCTAAAATTCTGTAATGAATAAAAAAAACTACTAACAAGGTAAGGTTTTGATAAAATCGAATATTAATTTTAATTGGACATCAATGAAGGATCGCGAGCATGACGTTTTCTAAATCTTTGTTCTTGATTCTTGTTGGATCACCATTCTGAAAAAGATTCTTGATCTGTTGCCGCAGGTTCAGCATTACATTCTCGTTGTCCAAGCAACTGATGGTGGAATTCCTGCTCTGTCATCCACAGTCACGGTCTACTGTAACGTGGTGGACCTCAACGACAATGCACCAATTTTTGAACCAGGTCCCTATGCCACTGAAGTTTTGGAGAACGCCACCATTGGTACCGCGGTGTTATCGGCGACTGCTCAAGATTTGGATTCATCGGACAATGGAAAAGTTGTCTATTCAATTGTGAGTGGCGACGAGGACAATGACTTTGAAATTGCACCAAATGGAACTGTTTACACGAGGAAATTATTAGATCGAGAGAGAAAATCTCTTTATAGTTTGATACTGAGGGCCAGCGATAGTCCACCGTCTCCTGCTCGAGCCCTGTCGTCAACTGTGCAGGTAAATATTTCCTTTTTATAAAATTATTATACTTATAAATAACTCAATTCTTGACGAACTACCATAAAATTATTATACTTATAAATTATTTAATGAATAATTTTACTTAAATATTTCAAAATTAATTGGATTTCAAAAGAGTTGCGTTTAAAACTTTTATAAATAAATGAACTTTAAAAGGTTTCAATTTGAAATTTTAGGAAATTTCAATTTTTAATTAACTTAATTAGAAATTTTAAGAACTGATTACAGAAATCCAATTATTTTCAAAAGTGATAAACTTCTTTACAGAAATTCAAATATGTTAAAAAAATTCTCCTTAAAATTCCAATTATCTTTATAAATAATAAAATTCTTCTCTGAAATTCAATTATTTTCGAAAAATTGAATAAAATTCTTGTCAAAATTTCAATTATTTTCAAAAAATTTCCTCATTTTAATTTACTTTTAATATCTACTATTTTAATAAAATTTCCCGATATAATTCAATTATTTTCAAAACAATAATTCTTCTTAAAAAGTCTATTATTTTCACGAATAACAAATTTTTTATGGGAATTCAAGTATTTAAAAAAATTTGAATAAAATTCTTCTCAAGAAATCAATTATCTTAATAAATAATAAAATTTTTCTCCGGAATCCAATTTTTTTTTAAATTTCAATAAAATGCTTTATAAATTTGAAAAATTATAATGAAATTCATAATAGAATTAAATTATTTTCGTAAAATTTAACATTCTTTCTAAAAATACAATTATTTTCAAAAATGTTAGTTAAAAATCTTCAAAACAATTCAATTATTTTCGTAAAAAATAAAATTATTTTTAAAAAAATTTAATAAAATTCTTCGTCAGATTTCAATTATTTTCAATTTTTTAAGGAAATTTCTCCATAGAATTTAATTATTTTCAAAAAGTTTTAAAAAATTCTGTGAAATTCAATTATTATTTAAAAAAATTTAAATAAAATTATTCATAAGAAATGAATTATTTTTATAAATAATAATGTTTTTCTCCGGAATTCAATTATTTTCACAAATAAAATTCTTCGAAGCAATTTAATTATTTAAAATATTTTTTAACTCTGCGCAAATATTTAATTATTTTCATAAATTATAAAATTTTCCACAGGAATTCAATTATTTAAAACAAATTTAATAAAATTTTTCGTTAGATTTTTATTATTTTCAATTTTTTAATGAAATTTCTCCATAGAATTGAATTATTTCCAAAAAGTTTAAAACAATTCTGAGAAATTCAATTATTTAAAAAAATTTGAATAAAATTCGTTACAAGAATTCAATTATTTTCATATACCTACATATATAAAAAATTATCGCAGAAGTTAAATTATTTTTTATACAATTTTAAATGAAATGATAGAAAATTGCACTTATTTCAAGGTGTCTAACGGTCAGGGAATTTTTTTGTCAAGGAAAAGTCATGGAAAACTCAGGGAATGTCAGAGAATTTCATTCAAAGTCAGGGAAATTTCTATAAATTTCTATAAAAATTAAAATTTTTTGTTAATTAGCAATTTTTTTAATTTAACAAAACTTAAAAGATTTTTATTACCGTTTGTTTCTATCATTAGATATTAATTTATTGTTAAATATGTAAGTTTCCATATTTTTGTCCCAAAAAAGCAGAAATAAAATCAGTAAAAAGTCAAGGAAAAAGTCAAGAAACGTCAGGGAAAAGTCGGAAAAGTCAGAGAATTTTTTTCTCAATCCTTGTTAGACATCCTGTTATTCTAAAATTTTTTTTTTAAATTCGCCGAAAGATTTAATTATTTTTAAAAATTTTGATAAAATCCTTCATAAAAATCCAATTTTAAAAAATATTCAATTATTTAATAAATTATTTATTTTTGTATCATATTATTGAATTCTTGAAAAATTTTCTTATAAAAATTGATTAGAAAAAAAATTTCACTTAAAATTTCAAATTTTAATTGAATACTAAAAGCATTATAGCTTGAATTTTTAGAAATAATTGAATTTTAAAGGGTTCAAACTAAAATCTTTGAAAATTTGAATTTATACAATATTCTTATGATATAAAATAATGGTTTTATCACTTCGTCTTCTTAAATTTATTATAAATTATTGAATTTCAGAAGGTTTGAATTTGAAAATCATAATTTCTATAGAAAAATAATAATGATTAAATATTTATTGAAAAAAGAAGTTATTGATGTTTTTGAATAATTTTACAATTAAAGAAATTCGTAAATAAATGTAATAGAATATTTTGTTGAGTATCTAATCATTTTGAAAGTGAATCAGAATATTCTTTAGGGTCAGGGAAAAAGTCAAAATTTTGTCTGGAAATCAGGGAAAAAGAAAATTAAATATTTTTAGCAACCCTGATTTTCTGAGTTTGTCACTTTTTACCAAAGTATTTTTTTCGCAATTTGTAAGAAGTAGTTAAATGCGTAATTTACAGAAATATTGTTTACTTTTTGCAGGTAACAATCGTTCTTCTCGATGTAAACGACCTCGCACCGGAATTCATCTCACCGAATCAGACAACAATAATCGAGAATGCACCCTCGAATACGGTGGTGATGGCCATTAAGGCCGTCGATCGTGACGAAGGTCGAAACGGTTATGTTGAATATTCCCTGGAAGAAAATGGATTTCCATTCACTTTGGGAACAGTTGACGGACTACTGCGAGTCTCGGGTCCCTTGGATCGGGAACACAAACCGAATTACACCCTTCAAGTCTCGGCTCGAGATCGAGGAGATCCTCCAAAATCGTCCTCGACAAAAGTCACAGTAGTCGTTCTCGACGAAAATGATAATTCTCCGATTTTCGATCCCAGACAATATTCCGCTACTGTGGCTGAAAATGCGAGTATTGGTGCCAGCGTCCTTCAGGTAATTTGAAAAATCCATTTATTTATTTATTTATTCCTCAACATTTTTTGAATTCCGCTAATAACTATTATGAAGGATAATTATAGACTCGGGTGAAAGGTGTGGTTGAGATAATCTAAACTATACTTGAAATAAAAGTATTTCTAATCTGTTAACAAATAAGCGTTCGATATTTGCACGCCTGAGAAATATTAAATCAATAGCGCCACTAGAGAAACGATGAAACAATATCTAATTGTTATTACACTTTTCTCAAGTCAAAAAATTGCAAAATACATCGATTATTCATTCTCAAGAAATAGGGTCAAATATTGAAAGATAAACGGATCTGAAATAGACAGAAAGCAACTATTTCCTTTTATGTCCGAACTTTAATTAATTTCAATGTTTTATTTATGTTCCTTTATTTATTATTACAACAGTTGAAGTCAAAATTGTATTTTCTAGTATTAACAAAATAAAAATACGTATTTAATTGCGTATGTAAACATTCTTTGCGGAGATAGTAAAAGTAGAAAATTGGTATTAGGTTTCAGCAACAGATCGAGATGAAGGTGCAAATGGCAGAGTTCGCTACAGTATTGTGCTTGGTGATGACAACCGTGATTTTACAATCTCAGAAGATGGTGGAGTGATTCGTGTGGCGAAGAATTTAAATTTCGAACGAAAGTCGAGATATCGTCTTACAGTTCGAGCTGAAGATTGTTCACCGGAAATTGGAGGAATCTCAAGGGACGATACATCAGAAGTAATCATCACTGTCTTGGATATTAATGACAATGCGCCCGTTTTCCTCGACTCTCCCTATTTGGCTCATGTTATGGAGAATTTGGTGCCGCCCGGCGGAGGATTTGTTATCCAGGTATACTTTTATTTATTTTAAATGTTCAAATGGTTCAAAAAGGACAAAAGTTTGGAGTAAAAATTTTCATTTCCACTTCAAACCTTTGTCTTTTTTAACCTTATTTACACTCCAAAACTTTTTGTTATGTTAATACAGGCCTCGGATATCATGACTTTCTCGACTTTTCTCGACTATTTTCAAAAAAGTGCAAATTTTTGGATTTTTCTTCAAAAAATTGCCACAAAATACTACATTTTTAGTATAAAATGCAACTTATTTCGATTTTTATAGTATGAAAATTAAGACAAATCTTTCAAAAATTGTTTTTAAATAATATTTTTAAAATATTCCAATAATTAAAATTTTTTCTGAATAATTGAAATCTGATAAAATTTTATTGACAATAATTTATTTTTTCTTAGAAATTTTTCATTCTAGTTTTTTAAAACTCAATTATTTTCAATATTTTCAATTACTTTCCGAAAATACAAAAATATTATTAAAATTTTTTACAATTATTTTTAACATTCTAGAGGGAACAATCGTGTTACAAATATTAAATTAAAATTATTAAAAAAAATTAATTAAAAAATTAATTTTTTTAGACTATACAAAAATTTTTCAAGAAATTATATTATTTTCGAAAAATTACATAACATTTTTAAAAAACTAATTCTTGGATTATTGTTTTATCATAATTTGTTTAAGATTCAATTATCTTCGAACAAAGTAAATTAACATTTTTAAAAATTTACTTTTTTTAGACTTTTTAAACTTTCAGAGAAATTTTATGTTCATGTTTATAATTAAAATTGTTGAGAAAAATTTGATTATTTTTTAATGTTTTTCAAAAATTCAATTATTTTTAAAAGATTTTTTATTTTAATTGTTCATCAATTTTTGAATTTTGTATAATTTGAAAAACTATTATCAATCAAAAATTATTTAAAACTATTTTTAAAAAATAAATTTTAAGATTTTTTTATAAATTTTTAAAAATATTATACATTAATAACCGTTTTTAAAAAATATGTAGAGTTACAATTACAATTATTGTAAAAAATTGAATTTTTCTATTTAAATAATTGCGGATTCTCGAAGAACTTTCGGCAAATTATTAAAAATAATTGATTTAGAGATGAAGTTTAGTTAACAAAATTGTAGAAAATAATTGAATTTTAGAAGTATTATAGTTGTAATTTTTAGAAATTATTTAATTTCAGAAGGTTTTGAATTGAAATTTTTTAAAGATTTTATTTACAGTGGGGAAACTAGAAGTATTTAAATATTTGTTTAACAAAATTATGAAAATTTTAAATAATTGAATTTTGAAATCAGTGACACAAAATTAAATTTTTGTGATAACATTGATGTAAATAAACGACTTTTTCGACTCGTTTTGTATTTTTAATCGACTGAAGCGACTTTTTTTTAGACTTATTGTAGATCCGAGGTCTGTTAATGTTCTCATTATTAATATTTATTACTCTTTTATTTATATTTATTACTCTCTTTTATTGTTCTCATTAATATTTATTACTCTTTACAGGCAAAATATTCAATAAAAAGCGTTTCTCACTTGGGAAAATCTGAATCGAATCGTTAATAAAGCAAAAACGGTGACAGTTTAATTTTCTAAAGAAACAAACGATTTTAAAATAATAATAAATAGTTTTAAGCAAATACAAATAATAATTTTACGCGTATAGAACTTCAATGTTGAAGAATCAAAGTCCTATTTCTAGATTTGAAATAAAATGTTTTAATTCGTTTTAGTCGTGAAAAAACAAAAATGTTTGACGCAATTTGTAGAGATACGAAAACTTTAATCCTATACAGTAAATTTATTTTCAATTTATTATTTCAGGTTCAAGCGTACGACGCCGATACTCCGCCATACAATGATCAGGTCCGCTATTTCCTGAAAGAAGGTGACACTGATCTTTTCAGAATCAATGCCAGTACTGGAGATATTTTTCTACTTCGACCATTGGACCGGGAATTAGTGTCAGAATATACCTTGACCCTCGTCGCTATGGATACCGGTAAGTAAAATTGATTCATATAAAATTCTGAGAAAAAGGCATTTAAAAAAAAGCGGTATAATTCTATCTACGATTTGCGAAATCGAATATGTGACGAGAGTTTCTTAATTCTTGAAAATATTATTATTTAATTGAAAATAATTAATCACGCAGCTAATTGTTATTGAGTTTATGACGAAGAAAATAGATGACTTTGATCTCGTGGCGATGAGTCAATAATGATAGGCACATCAGATTCACTAATGCGTTTGTCCAGGCGTGCTTTTAAGGTTGCACTTTAAGTGCGTGTCGCGATGCGTGCACGATAGGTGCGTGCAGGTATAAACATGAGGAGAGTGGCCTCCTCTTCGGGTAGGTACCTAGATATAGATGGGAGATAGACACACGCAGCTTGGAGAAAATAAACCATTAGAGGAAATAGGAATGCAGAATTTCTAAACCTGAGATTTAGGTTCCCTTCACACGTTGCCTCAATTCACTTTATCTCGATCGAATCTTTGTCATTAAACTGATCCAATTCTTTTTTCTGTTTTAATTCTCTTTTCTTTTCTTTTTGCTTTGGGATTTTAATTTTTTCAGCGGCGAAATAAAGGCAAGAACTTTTTTTCGCGAGAAAAATGAATGAAATCGGGGAAAACGAATAGAAATGAGAAGCGAGACCACCGAGTAGTAGTCTCGACTAGTTTTTCTGTTATACATTCCTATTAATCAATGACTCTGAAATTGCTGGGTTGGGTTATTTATAAAGAAAATTATATGAGATTAAGATGGATAACTTGCATATAAAGTGGAATACTTTGAGGCACATTTACAAGGGTAATGACACTTTTTTCGACTTCCTACGAACAGAGGAATGTTTATACCTAGTCTAGAGAATGACGAATTACACTGTATGTATCAAATGAGGATTGGATAAATGACAAGAGAGTAACGGAGTCTCGCTGGGAAAGGCTCTACTGACACTACTTAAATTCCACCTTCTCTCACAGTGAGGGGAGCGACCGAGACGGAAAACGAGTATGATGAAATCTTGATTCACTAAATCACAAGCATCACAAGTAGTCACGCCAGACTATTCGATTGTCACATCACTGCAGTGATGCATTAGAATTAATACTCTCCCGCCTTTGAACTTGAACCAGCTTCATCATTTCTCTATTTATTTCTTAATTCTTAGAATGATCTTCAAAAAAAAAGTCTAAATTCTGTAATCAGTAATTATAATTTTTGTATTTAATTTTCCCATACGTTGAATAAAAGTATGTATGGGGAAATTCTTTACACTTGATCGATCTGATAAACTTGCGTTTATATTGTAAATAAATAAATAGGAATTTGTCTAAGAATTTAAGAGTTGCAAATTGTTAAAATGATAGGGCAAATATTTACCAAGTCTTTGGATGAATATAGTACTGAAATTGCACGTTTCAACTGCAAGAAATATTTACTGAAGTTGTAACTGTTTTTATTTGAGTGGAATTTCCGTCCATTAGCTAGCACCTGTGTCCTGATAATAGAGACGCACACCTATTAATTCCAGACATTTTTCGTTTCTACGGGTGTACCATTCTCGCGTGTTAAATATATTATATACGCGAAACGTCGAGTATCACAACTGCGTATAAGGTGTGTATAACGCAAGGGAAATAAGGGACCATTGGTCCGAGCTGGAATTATCTGTACATCAAACCTCGCGGCGACCAATACGAGTTCTCATATTATTCTTCATTGCAAGCAACCATCGTAGTGGAGTTGAAAATTTAGTGTAAATATTCAGAGAGTTGTTTAATTAATAAATAATATACTTTAGGCACTAGGGAGATTTTGTATTGATTCGAAATTTTGTTTTTAAAATTTTTTATTTATTTGTTTGAAATATTTAAGTTTCGTGTCACTGTAAATGAGATAAAGTCGCTTCATTTTTTCCTTGACACTAAAGCCCACGAAATGATATTTAAAGTACCTCATGTTCTCGTGAGGATTAGACCTTTTCTTGAGCATATATTACGGTAGCGCAGAAACTGCCATATAACGACCTATTCTCATTATATTACTCAAAATTATCAGCGCTTCTTATCTTCCACTTGTCTTGAAGTCAATCACATAAACTCTTTCACTCTACACGCATTTTATGTAATACCCATGGATGCAAGAATAATATATCTATCTTAGACGTGAGAAATTTATGACAATTTCTCTTGAGATTCTCTCACGAATACTGAATACTATATAGTAATAGACTTCTGTATTTTTTGTTGAACTGTATTTAAAAATTCAAAGAAAAATCATCCTGAACTTATTTTTGGTGCTTTTCATTATGAGTTCTTTATCGAAATGAGTTTTGCCAGCAAAATTTAATTTTCTCAAAAAAATTTTCTAATACATTTATTTACGAATTTCTTTACGAAAAAATTCTTTAATTTGTAAAATTATTCGAAAACATTAATTGTTTTGTTTAAAATAAATATTTAATCATTATTATTTTTCCATAGAAATTAAGATTTATAAAACTTTTAAATCCAAACCTTTTGAAATTAACAATTTCAAGACATATTTTTATTATAAAACATGATATCGATTATGTTTATATTACAACAATATTATTACTATTTCTTCAAAATTATTTACAATCATTTCAATTAAATTATTATTTTTTGAAAACTTTTCAAAAAATTCTTCTATAAATCAATTATTTTTAATAATTTTTGAAAAAGTTGTTTGAGAATTTTTAAATACATTTATATACAGTTCAATTTTACCAAAAATATCGATTATTCGCAAAATTTCTTCAACTAAATATATATTAAAAAATAAAAACTACAAAATATAATTAAAAAAAAAGATAATTAAACTTTTTAAAAAAAATTAATTCTACAGAATTGTTAGTTAAAAGTATAAAAATTCAAATTTTCAAAGATTTTAATTAGAAATCTTTTCTTTCAAAATACAATTATTTCTAAAAATCCACGCTTTCAATATTTAATTGAAATCTAAAATTCTAAATAAAATACATTTTTAAATCAATATTTATTAGAAAATTCTACGAGAATTCAAACTATTTCAAGACAAAAATAAATATTTTATTATATTGAATGTTTCAAACCTGAATTTTCATAAAGACTTTTATCAACAAATTTTTAAATAATTGAATTCTCTTGACAAATTTTAATAAAATTTTTAAGAATAATTTCATTTCTCGAAAAATTTGATAAAAATTGTATTAAAAATAGTTTTTTTTTAAATTTTATTAAAATTTTTGAAAATAATTGAATTTCGGAGAAAAATTTTATTATTTATACAGTTATTTGAAATTTTGTAAATTTTTGAACATAATTGAATTTTTGCGAAGAATAATATAATTATATTATTATTAAAAATAATTGAATTATTGAGACGAATTTTATTAAATAGTAGACATTGAAAATAATTGAATATTGAAAATTTTTGAAATTAATTAAATTTCTATGAAGAATTTTATTAAATTTATTTTGAAAAAAATTGAATTGTTACAAAGAATTTCATTAAATTTTTTGAAAATAATTTAATTTTTTGAAGAAATTTAATTAAAACTGTATTGAAAATAATACTTTAATTCTAATAAATAAATTGTAACAAAGCAAAAAAACCTGCAAAGAATATTATTATTTATGAAAATAATTAAATTTCTAAAAAGAATTTTATTATACATGAAAGTAATTGAATCCCTGTAAACAATTTTGATTATTTATGAAAATAATTGAATTACTGTGAAATTTTAATTGTTTATGAAAATAATTAAATGTTTATGTAGAATTTTATCAAAATGTTTTTTAAAATATTTGAATTCTTTTAGAAAATTTTATTAAAATAGTAGATATTGAAAATCATTAAATTGAGGAAAATTTATAAAAAGAATTGAAATTTTGCCAAGAATTTTTTTAAATATTTGTGAAAAATAATTGAATTTCGAAGAAGAATTTTAATATTTATAAAAATAATTGAAATTTTGACAAGAATTTTTAAAAATTTTCGAAAATATGTAAATATGAATTTTTGCGAAGAATTTTATTACTTAGTTGAAAATAATTGAATCTTTGTAAAAAAAAATTGTATCATTTATGAAAATAATTGAATTCTTGCGAAATTTTTATTATTAAAAAATAATTAAATGTTTGGGTGGAATTTTCTAAAAAAAATTTTATACAATTGAATTATTTTGGAAAATTTTATTAAAAATATTTTTTCAAATTAGTCACAGGTCAGGGAATTTTTATCAGAATAAATCTATTGATAGCTGCGTATAATTTTCGTTTGAAAATACATATTCATAAGTATTAGAAATATTTTATATAATTGTATACAAATTTTGAGAGCACTCCGAGTGAAATATGAATCGGAGTGATCGGTAATCGGAAAGTTTTGTTTATAATAGAAATATTTTTCGAGTTTGTATTTAAATACTATTTTCTTGTGTTTTAGAGTAAATCCGAATATTCTTTAGAGTCAAGGGAGAAGGAAATAAAATTTTTGTGTCAACGCCGGTGATAGTTGAAGGATTTCGTTAAGGACTATACGCAGACCTTGAGAATAATATTGCGAGTTTTGGACCCGAGGAAAATAAGTCTTAACGAGTTGGAAAAAGTGATGAATGTTTTGGAAAAAAATGAGTGAATGAGATATTTCAATACACTACACGGTTTTACGTCTGTGTTCCCAGAGGCGATATTTTTTTCTTTTTTCGGCCCTGTGCTCTCTTCTCTTTTTTCTTTCTTGAGGCGCTCGTCGGCCCCGAAGCGAACAATACAGATTTGCAAGCGCGATAGGTCATTGAATCTCATTTCCCTTCGCATCTTGCGTGTGACTTACTTGTGGTCTCGGCTCGTTCTACGTGTGAAGAAGGAGAAGAAGAAGAAGAAGGCACGACGCAGAATGCGAAGAATACTGAGAGACGGGCTGGCAATAGGATAATAAGAGAGCAAAGGGTTTGTCGCACGGCTGGCCTATTAGGGTCGCCAAAGGCG